TGTAAAGGTACAATTCCCAATGAGAAATGTAATTGTGTTGTATACCTACAATGTACCAATAAAAGAATTTAATACAAAAAAAAAAAAGAATGTCCAGGCCCACTTCCAAATCACTGTGGTTAGATTTATTACTTAAATATCACCACAGTTTTAAGGAAGTACATTTTAAGTTAAAGCTGAAATATTGCAAGGTAACATGAGTTGACGTTCTTGGTCATTAGCTGGAAGATTTAGAGAGCAACCTAGGAATCTGGGCATGGTGACACACGCCTAAAATCTCAGCATTGTGAAAGGCTGAGGCAGAAGGATTGTACATTTGAATCTAGCCCAGACAGTTTAGCAGTTTAGTGACACCTTGTCACAAATTTTTTTTTTTTTACAAAATTTCTGAAAAGCAGGGTGGTATTGGCTGAGGGTAAAGGCCCTGGGCCCAGTCCTCAGTACCACACAAAGAAAAGGCCACCCAGGAAATAGCCTGCCTCCTGGGAGTTCTAGTGTTAGTAGCTTTTGAATAAAAGTGAATGGCTACATCAGCTGGAAATTTCAGCATAGTTTTTATTTTTTTAATGTTAAAATTTCTATTTTCCTTTTTATTTGCTTTCCCCGTTCCTTTTCCCTTCCCCCCACCACACTCATATAACACCTTTTATTTGTCATTAGGTCAAGGAAGTTAAAAAGACTTCTATAGGCTTAGAACTCAGCGTGGTTACTGCAGTTCCTGGTAGGAAACCCACCTTGACCTCGATTTCGGATGTTGACTGCCTGCTCTGGGCCATTGGACGGGATCCAAATTCCAAGGGCCTGAATTTAGACAAGCTGGTAAGCTGATTTAATGTGCCTCAGATGTTCTTGAATCTTTTGGTAGCTCTGTGATTTCCACCCCTCCCACTGTGCTGCAAAACTTGAGTGGACTTTGTTGAATTGTTTTCTCTTTATTCCATGTTTCTACTTTTCATCACATCTCATCACTTTGAAATATTTTCCCTTTCTAATTTTATAACCCTGGATCAGAGGGATTCAATTAGAGAAGGGATTCTAATCTAGATTGTCCCGCAGTTTCCTGACTGATTGTTTCTCAAAGACTTCCATTTTGGGCTGGTTCCATGGCCTGCCTCACAAGTGCAAGGTACTGAGTTCGATAAAAAAAAAAGAAAAAAAGACTTTTTGATACTCATATGTTGGTTTAAAGTCCTGTGCTGACACTGTCTTTTCTACAGTGTCTAACCAGACTATTGTGTGTGTCCTTGTGTAGCACCAAGGTTGTACTTGGGGACAGGAACAGATGTGAAGCCATCTCTCTTATCTCTACAAGGACAACATTCTTCTCTGTTCTTCAAATTTTTGAAGTCTAGTGTAGTAGGCCGGGTGTGGTTCCCACAGTTTGACCTCAATTTGAATTTCAGTTCTATTACCAGTTGCGTGCCCTTGAGCAAGCAGGTTGGTTTTCCTGAATTCTTTCAATAGCTTCATACAGGATGGTAATAGAAATAGTACCTGCCCTGGTGGATTATAAAAAAGAATAAATGAGACAGTGCATGCAAAGTAATTAGCTTAGCCCCTGGCTTAGGGTAGGAACACAGTAACTGTTAACCTGCTGTTGTTGATGATCATGATGGTTTTTCTTTTCCTGGTCACTAATTGCAATCTTATCTTCTATATCTGAAATTCTGTCCTCATATTGGCTCCTTCTGCTGCGTAAATTTTCAGTGTTTTTAATCTCATGGAAATTGTTTTATGTATCCCATTTGTTTCCTATGTTGGGATTCCATCATGTTCCTCAGCTCCTCTATTTTTTTATCTGTGTCCTCTCTAGATTTATTAATCATGTCTTGCAGTATGGGCACAATCTCTGCTGTTATCTGAGAAATTATTTCTGATTTCATTTTTTCCAGATCCCCTTTTGTTGCCAGTTCAGGGAGTCCAGGTGGTTGAGTATCAACATGTTCCATCTCATTTCCTTTTGGGGTTGTTGTAGGTGATCTGGAAGTCTGGTTTTGAGGCTGTTCACGTGTCTTCTCATTTGGGGGAAGAAGCTGCTGGCTCCTGCACTGCTCACCTCCTCTGTGCTGGGAGCAGTGCTACGGCGGCCATGATGATTTTTCTGATACACTATCCTGTGGACAAAATGGAATGTTTTATGATTGAAGTTTACATATTTGATGGAATTTGAGTGGTATATAACATTTTGATTTAAGTTATAAAATTAATTTCTGTTATAAGTAGATTTCTTTTTCAAGTCTATGTAGTTATTTTTAAACATTTTAATGATTTTTATCATTATTAATTTTTTGCTGCTAGGGATCGAACCCAGACTTCAGCATGTATTCTATCACTGAGCTGTATCCCCAGTGCATTTTTCAGCATTTTATTTTAGTTTTTGAGACAGAGTCTCGCTATGTAATTCAGGCTGGCCTTGAACTCAAAGCAATCCTTCTTCCTCAGCCTCCTGAGGGCTGGGATTACAGGCGTACACCACCACGCCCAGCTTATTTTTCGACATTGTAAATAATGAAGCATTCAAGGACATGTTTGACTTTTTTTCAGTCCTATTCAATGAAATTTAGTTGAACAAGTTGTCTTTTTTGGTACCAGGATCGAACTCAGGACCTTGTGCTTGTGAGGCTGGCAACGGCACCACTGAGCTAAATCCCTGGCCCCGAGTTGTCTATTTTTGTAGTAACAAAATTAGTCATCCAGCTTTTTACCTTTCAGGAGAGATTTTGCCTTTGTACAATAGAGGCATTGGTAGGTCTAATGTTCAACTGTATTTGCTGAATTTTTAAAAGAATGAGGCAAAAACCAATGTTTGGTCTCAAACAGTACTAATTTATGTATAATGCAGATTGAATGAGTACTACTTCCTAGGTCTTGTCAGTGTGTTACTAATCCAGTTTAATTTTAATCTTGTTTATGACTATTTGAGATATAAAAAATAAGGAAACCAGGAAGACAAAAGTAATAAGTAACATATCAGACTGTAACTGCTGTGGAGGAGGAGGAGGAATGTCTGTGTAACACCACTCTATTATTTTATTTTACTTTATTTTATTTTATTTTTTGGTACCAGGGATCGAACTTGGGTCCTTGCACTTGCGAGGCAGGCAGTGGAACCACTGAGCTAAATCCCTGGCACACCACTCTATTTTCATAACTAGGTTAAACCATCATCTGCAATGGAAGTTCACATATTTGTTGATAAATAAATGATTATGTAGAGTCTCATACCTACTAAGTGGCAAAGCTGGGATTTGCATCCCAGTCTGCCTGACCACTCTCCCAGCCCTGAAGGTTGTGCTTTTCACCACCAAGCTTCTCAGGATGATCCTCTATACTTCCTGCTCCCACTGTGCGTCTGCTTGTCACACTGGAGTATATCTGCCTGGGATCTGCAAAGCTGGAAGATAAGAACAGCACATCTTAGAGCAAACCTGACTCAACATATAGGACAGAAATGGTTATGGGAAATATGTTTTATTATTGAATCCAAAATTTATTTGAGTTTTTAAAAATAACAAAAGAATATGCTTCAAAGGAATGTGCTGTTGGTGAGTGAGTGCTTCAGGCTGAATCTCAGAAGTATACAGTAGCCTGCCTCAGGAGGAGCACTTTAATGGAAAAAGTTGAAAACACATCTTAGATGCCCTCCAGCATGTAGTCCATCTGCTAATTGAGCAGGCCCTTTTTCATGTTTACCCAGCCAGTTGAATTATACATTGCAATGTCAAATCTTACTAAAAAAATTCATTCAAAATTATGTAAAATACTTCATCTTTTACAGTAAGCAAAGGATAAAAAAATTAGCCAGCTTTAAATGTTTCTCATGCTGCTATTGAATCTTGTGGTTTCTTGGATGTTCAGGCTGAAGGGTGCTCAATATGAAATGAAGCAGATCCAAAGATTTGATCTGCCAGTTTTTAGTCAGTGGGTCCAGTATTCATGTGACATCTCTTCATAATTTTAGGGAATTCAAACTGATGAGAAAGGTCATATCATAGTAGATGAATTCCAGAACACCAGTGTCAAAGGCATCTACGCAGTTGGGGATGTGTGTGGAAAAGCTCTTCTGACTCCAGGTAATGCTTCTTTCCTTCTCTCAAGAGAGAGGAGGCCGGCCCCATGTACTGCATAAAACTGTCCTGCTCGTCATTTTGGCAAAGCCAAAGAATGAGTCTTTGTCTTGTCAAAATGATAAAAATGTATTGAAATAGATGTTGGTTGGATACCTGACACTTTCTGAATGATACTTTTTCCTTAAAAGACTTAATAAAATGCTTAGAGAAGATAGAAATTTTCATGTAGATAATATGGTCACCCTCTGAAGAACTCTGTACATTAGTCTCAAGAGTTGTGTACGATGACAGAAATAATTTAGATCAGCATTCTTATTTGAGTATCTGGTACAACCTAGACTGACTCCCCTCCCCTCCCTCATCCTGTTCCTCAACCCACTTCCTGAGTTAAGGAGCGCATTTCAAGCTCTTTGTTCCATCTCTGTCTGTCAGATTAAAAGCAGATGTCACTCTCTCTGTGGGACCTCACCAACCTTTCCAGAATGTCCCAGAGGTCTTACCTCCAGATGGAAAATTACCTCTCACATACCCAAACCCTTTTAGCTCCTTTAGGAAGTTGTTTGTTTATTTCTTGTGGTACAGGATCGAACCCAGGCCTATGTGCATGCTAGTGAAGTGCTCTACCACTGAGCTATCTCCCTAGCCCTGATTCATTTTGTTAATTGAATAAAAATTGTATATATGGTATACAACGTGACATTTTGAAATATACATTGTAGAAGGCTAAGTCAAGCCAATTAATATATAGATTACCTCACATATTTATCTCTTTTTGTGTGTATGTGAGGACACTTAAAAATCTACTCTTAGCAGTTTTCAAGTATGCAGTACACTATTACTAGCAATAGTCAGAGTAACCCATGGGCAGTGAGATCCAGGGGCAGAGTCTTAGCCTCACCACTGCCACCCACTGGGTCACCGAGCCAGCAGCTGTGGATAAAAAAGGCATTGCTTCAGACCGCCAAACTGGCAGAGCAGGCTGAGCGAGATGATGACAGGGCAGCCTACCTGAAGCTCATGCCCGGCTGGGGTAAGATGCTGAATTATCTAAGAGGGGAGGAATCTTCTCTCCATTGCTTATAAAAATGCTGGAGGAGCCTATAGGTCATCTTGGAGCATTGCTTCCAGTATGAAGCAAAAGTTGGAAGGTGCCGAGAAAAAACAGCAGATTGTTGGAGAATGCAGAGAGAAAATTGAGAGGAAACTAAGAAATGTCTGCAATGATGTATTGTCTCTTTTGGAGAAGTTCTTGATCCCCAGTGCTTCACAAGCTGAGAGCAAAGTCTCTTATTTGAAAATGAAAGGAGACCACACTGTTACTTGGCTGAAATTGCTGCCAGTGATGACAAGAAAGGGATTGTGGATCAGTCACAACAAGCAAACCTTTTGGAAGCTTTTGGGATCAGCAAAAAAGAAATGCAAACAATGCATCCTATCAGATTGGGTCTGGTGTTTAACTTCTCCATGTTACAAGATTCTGAACTCCCCGGAGAAAGCCTGTACTCTGGCAAAGACAGCTTTTGATGAAGCCATTGCTGAGCTTGATACATTAAGTGAAGAATCACCCCAGGACAGCATGTTAATAATGGAACCACTGAGAGACAGCTTGACATTGTGGACATTGGATACTCAAGGAGACCAAGCCAGAGGAGAGGAAAATTAACAGGCCTTCCAGCTTTTGTCTGGCCCATTCTAAAATGAACATAGCTCATTTGTCATCTGTGCTGTCCCACAGAGAGTTCTTTGTTTACAATTTATAACAGGCTTATGTTGCTTGTATTTCAATTTCTATATTTCACATATGGTTTTTCTGTTTAATATTAGGGGAGTGAAGGTACTTCATATTTAGGGAGTAGTTATCTTGACATGGCCAGTATGGGGAAGTAGAATTTTTATACAAGTTATAAGTGTTTGGCATAGTACTTGTGGTACACTGTGGTTTTATAAGGGCTAGTGTTAAAACTGCTTCCATGTCTAAGCAAAGAAAACTGCCTACATTTATGGTTTGTCCTGTGGGGGAATAAAAGGGTTTCATTGTTCAGGCACAGGTGTAATTATTGTGGGTACTTTAAGGTTTGGAGCAGCTCCGAGGCTGTGGTAGAACCTGATATCCTGTGGGTCCTCCATGCGTGGAGCCCTGTGTTTCAAGGCGTGAGCAGTCCTGGCATACACACCTGTGCTTCAGCTTCAGGGGTGACCCTTAGAATTGTCACCCATCGTCACCTGTTTATTCTGAACAAGGGCAGGATCAGTTCACATTCCATTATTTATAAAGTTACCTGCTGTTTGCTTTCATTATTTTTGTTACGCAGTTTATTTGTATTTGAATGTTTTAGGCAACCTAACAACAAGGGTAAAAGTAAAGATGTAGTCAAAGTGAATTTCTTGGTATTTATTACTTCATGTATATCAGCATAGCAGTAAACAAACAAAAATCCCATGTTTTTAATTTTTTTTTAGGTTTTCTTGCTTTTGTGATTTATTTTAGTTGCCTAACATACATGGACTATAAAAACAATTAACAGGGAAATTACTTGGAGGACGACTAACTCTGTTTAATGTCTTAAGAAATTTTCATGAACAATCCAAGCATAATTGTTAAGAGCATATGTGGAATAAAAGTTTCCTGTGGTGCTAGGGACTGAACTCAGAGCCTAGCACCCATTAGGCAAGTGCTGTTCCACTGAGCTACCTCCTCTCCCAGCCTGAAATTTTATATCCTTTGACAGGAAGTTGTTTTATCAAAAGCAAAACAATGAGCAAAGTTTTAAAAAGTCATAGTATAATCTAAACATTGGAAAGTATATCAAAGTAAAAAAATTTCTTAGTATCCTATGGATATTTTAGGGGAAAACTGTCAATTTTAAATTAATAAAATTATTAACTGTCTCTTTTGCTTTAATTCAGGCCCCTTTTTAAAAAGATTTAATGAAAACAGTAAGGAGAGTAAATTTTTAAGTTAAAAAATCTTAATGTATAATGAAATAGCTTTAATGTGACCTGAAGATGTGCAAAATTACTATACTTTGCTCCATAAATATCATGTCAGAAAACTGACAGCCTCATTAGTAGACTGACAGGCGATTGGGAACTTATGAATGTGTATCTGTTTTGGTTTTGTTTTCATAATAGAATATACCGAATTCGTGTAAGCCAATAGTTTTGAATTGTTCACTAAGGCATTGATGTGTTTTCATTATGTTATGCTAGATATTATAATGAGATGTGGCATAAAACTTAGAGCCAGTGTCTTATGCCAGGTGGCCAAATGATGAGTAGAACAGTTCTTCTGTGTTAGAGTGAGCAGTAAGATAAACACTAACTTTAAACAATCTCTGTAGTTGCAATAGCTGCTGGTCGAAAACTTGCCCATAGACTTTTCGAATGCAAAGAAGATTCCAAATTTGACTATGACAACATCCCCACAGTGGTCTTCAGTCACCCTCCTATTGGGGCAGTAGGCCTTACAGAAGGTAGGTACTTAAAAATGAGGGGCATTTGTGATTTCTTTCTTTGAACTAGGTCTCTGCCAATCAACTAAATCTATCTTAATCCCCAAGTTATGCTCTTGATTTTTATTTATATATTTTAGACAGGATCTTGCTGTGTGGCCCAGGCTGGCCTCAAACTCCTGGGCTCAGGTGATCCTTCTGCCTCAGCCTCCTAAGTGCTGGGACTACTAGCACATGCCACCATGCCTGGCTTCTCCCTTTGTCTGTGTGTTCATCCCTCCCATCCTTCTTTCTCTCCCCTCTCCTGCCCTCCCTTCTTCCCCACCCCCCACCCCCTTTCTTTCTTTGTTTCTTGTTTTTGAGACAGGGTATCACTGTGTAGTTCAGGCTGGCCTTGAAACCACTGTGTAGCCCAGGCTGGCCTTGAAGTCACAGTGATCCTCCCATCTCAGCCTCCTGAAGGGCTGGAATTACAGTTGTGTATCACCATGCCCAGACCATTTCTAATCTGGTTTACTTCAAAGCTACTCAAACTGTGAGAATACATTTTCTTTTTTTCTTTTTTTGGTACCAGGGATCAAACTCGGGACCTTGCACTTTCGAGGCCGGTGGTGGAACCACTGAGCTAAATCCCCGGTCCCAAGAGAGTACATTTTCTTTTCCCACATAATCCTATTTATCTGATTTCTTTTTACCTTTTTTATTTGAACTAACATCACATTTAAAGTTGCAAAAAAGAATACAAAGGACTCTTGTTGTATCCTTAATATTTTTGCTTAATTATTTTCTTGCTTATAAACCCACATACACTGTTCAGTATATTTTAGTATGTATTTCTTAAGAACAAAGCTCAATACCATTTTCAAGTCCGGACCTTATGTAAATCTTGCCAGTTATCTCATTTATGCTAGGATAATAGATAATAAGTAGTTTTTATACTTCTTTGGTCTCTCTTAATATAGAGACCAAATATTTCGGCCTTTCTTTTGTCTTGTGACACTGACATCTGTGTTGTAGAATGTCCTTTATTTTGGTTTGTTTGTTACTTCCTCATGATTTGATTCAGGTTTCATATTTCTGACCATATCTCAGTTAATTGTTTAATTTTTTTTTTTTTTTGGTACTGGGGATCGAATTTGGGACCTTGTGCTTGCGAAGCAGGTGGTGGAACCACTGAGCTAAATCCCTGGTCCAGTTGTTTAATTTTTTGATAAATGCTTTTTTAAATGTATATTATAGATGAGGCCATTCATAAATATGGAAAAGACAATGTGAAGATCTATTCGACCACCTTCACCCCAATGTACCATGCAGTGACCACAAGGAAAACAAAATGCGTGATGAAAATGATTTGTGCCAACAAAGAGGAAAAGGTATGGAAAAATCCAGTCAGCTAAGCAGCACTTTGCAAAGTTGAGGACGATGTTGGTATTTTGGTTTGGAGGCAGGAGGGTGCAGAGAGACCAAGTAGGCGAGTCCTCTAGTTCACCTGGGCAGCTGCGTTGTTACCTGCCTCATGTACAAGGTGTGATTAAAAACACAATAAATGTGTAAATTTCAAAAATGTATTAATTTTTATTAATTGTCATTAACTCCCCTCAAAATACTCCCCCTTGCTTCGAACACACATCCCATCATTCTTGCCCCTTTCTGAAGCAGTTTACAGTTTACACTTACGCCAGTTTCTGTCAAATAAAAAATGACAGTGTGTCCTCCTCCACTTTGTTCACTGGCTCTGACTCTGCAATTTCTCGCTCTTCCCCAAAGTCACAATGGCTATGAAACATTCTTGAATCAATTCAGGACCTCAAGGTCCTGGCTGCACAAGTAAAGACAAGAAGTGCTTCAGAAAATGTCAAGCATGTTGTCATAAGTGTGTTCAAAGCACTATTTTGATGGGGATTAATGGTAATGTGTCTTCACTGTAGTAAAATTTTTTTTTTAATTTAAGCTTTCACCATATCTTTTGATCACACCGTGTGTGTGTGTGTGTGTGTGTGTGTGTGTATGTGTGTGTGTGTGTGTGTGTGTATATGTGTGTAGGAGGTTCTTACATCTCATATGGAAAGTAAGGGGAAGGAAAAAAGACCACCCAAAGCTTGCCACCATTGACCAGTAGGCCAGAATAGATACGAAACTCCGAAATATTGGTGAAGTAAGAGTTTAATGGAAGGTAAATTTAAATTTAACAAACTAGAACAGTGAACTTTATTCAGCCCTTTTTTTCCGCAAAGATAATCTATGCTTTGGTTTAACTCTTTGATCATCCTATCTATTTCTGGTGTCTACACCATTTTCTGTTCCCCCAGCAGAGTATGAGGTTTCTCTTTGATCTGCTCCCTCACTAACCCTTATTCATTATCTTTTTGTTGTGGCTTTTGTTGTGGGTGTGAAGTGCTCTCTCAGTGTGGTTTTGATTTGCATTTGAATGGAATTTATTTTGTAGTTTCCTAAATGGGTTAAGTTTCTGTCCTAGGACAGAGTATTGGGCTGTTTTTATTAGTTGATTTAAGTATTGGAATTTTAGCAAAATTGCTTGGAATGAGGTTTGGTTTGGCTTGGTTTGGTTTGGCAGTGCTGGGGATTGAACCCAGGGCCTCATGCCTGCTAGACAAGTGCTCTACCACTGAGCTATGTGCATCCCAGCCCAAACTGGAATGAAGATAATTTTTGTTTGTTTTGCTTGGTTTTTCGTTTAGCAATATATTGTACTTTGAAACAGTGGCTCTGTAAGAACAGTGGCTTGGATGAAGATTTGGATATAGTTTCCAGCTTTTGATACCAAAAAAAAAATCCATATCTTATCAGGGGCCTCATATGCCAGAGCCACAAAACACAGTCCTCTTACATAATTCAGCATCGCAGAAGACTAATGGAGGTTGTTGGCAGCAAAACCCAGCCTGTTTTTTCTAGGCTCTGAACATTGCTCAGAAGGCTGAGATTTCTGGGTATTGAGCCAGCAGGATCCCTGCTTATCGCTTCATATCTGTTATTTCTCCATACCAATCTTCCTTCATTCCTTTGGCAATCTGCTAAAGACTAATGGAGAGGAAAATAAAAGTTCCTGCTGTTGCCAGGGCCTCTAAGTTCAATTTAGGTCATAGTTCCCGAAAATTTACCTGTTTAATGCATACACAATACTTGATGTGGAATTTTTTGTTTTATAACAAACACATAACAAAAGTTATCATCATAGCCATTTTTGTTTTGTTTTGTTTTTGTTTTGATTGAACTTGGGTCCTTGCGCTTGTGCAGCAGGGGGCAAAACCACTGGGCTAAATCCCTGGCCTCATCTTAGCCATTTTTTAAAATGATCTTTTGTTTTTTGATTCTAGAGTCAGGCAGGCAACACTTACTTCCTTAAAGTGACTGAGCTGACCTGAACAGAGCAGAAGAGGTTGGTTTTTGGAGACAAAAAATCTGAAGAAACCAGAAACAAAACAACAAAGAGCATATTGGTCATTTTAAATTTCCATTTCTTGCAGGGTGGGAATGAAGACAGAACAATAGGAAAATAGCTGATTAGCTAACTTCAGATTAATCTTTTGTGTAAAGATTAAAACAGAGGGGCCTGGGGATTTAGCTCAGTGGTTCCGGTGCCTGCCATGCAAGTGCAAGGGCTTAGAGTTGTGGGTGGGATGGTACCCAGCTGCCAGGTTGAAGTATTGTATTTTACAAAAAGTGCTGAAATAGCGGGAGTTCATTCAGAGACCATTTCTCTCCACAAGAAATAAAAGTGTTAGGCTGGGGATTTAAAATGCTCAGTGGTTTTGCCGCCTGCTGTGCAAGTGCAAGGATCCGAGTTCGATCCCCAGTACCAAAAAACAAAAACAAAACAAGAAATAAAAGTGTTGCAGCTGTAGGAAGAAATAGAAACTCAACATCCTGGATTGGCTGATATTAAAAATCAGGTGATATCTGCTGTTTGTCAAGAGTATGTCAAGCTGGAAGATCAGCTCCTCCAGCTGCAACCAGGAGATGAAATTGCTATTATCCCCTCTATTAGTGGTGGATAATGCTTTTCAGCCATGAAAAATATGGGTGAAGTTGAAGAGAAATCTAAAGACATAATAAAATGCATTGCCGAGAAACTTTCAGTAGATGAAGTCTCATAGTTGGTGATTTCTCCAGTGTGTGCTGCAGTGTCCTTATTTGTAGGGACTACAAGAAATAACTTTAAAGGGAAAAAAGTCATTAGTTTAGAATATGAAGGGCCAGGGATTTAGCTCAGTGGTTCTGCTGCCTGCCTTGAAAGTGCAAGGTCCTGAGTTCGATCCCCGATACCAAAACAAACAAACAAAAAATGAAGCATATATACCAATGGCGGAAAATGAAATCAGAAAAATCTGTAGTGACATTAGACAGAAATGGCCAGTAAAACATAGCAGTGTTCCGTAGACTTGGCTTGGTTCCCGTGTCAGAAGCAAGCATAATTATTGTTGTGTCCTCAGCCCATAGGGCTGAGTCTCTAGCAGCTGTGAGTTAAAGTGCCCATATGGAACAGGAAATAACATGAAGAGTCATCATCAGCATGAAAAATAAAGAATGTTTTTGGGCAATCAGTGATTAATCACATATTTTAGAGCATCACATCTTAAATTTGGTAAATTTTCATTATTGATAATCTTTTTATTTTTCTTCTACAGAAAAGATAGTTTATTGAAGCACAATCTCTTAGGTTTTACCAGTGGGTCAAATGGGAGAAAAAGAAGGCAAAAATAAATGGTTATGGGGCATAAGGGTCTAGGAACTAAAGATGGGAAAGAAATGAATTAAATGTGAGGAAAGATGCCCTTCCATGATTAATTTCTAATTGTAATTCAACTCATATTAAAATGAGGCCCCTCCTCACCAACTTTAACTGTTTCAGAGAGACCTCTTTCTCCACCAGCCCCCAGTGCATTAATAGTGTTATCATCAGGGATGCATTGTGGAAATGGGAGAACTGGGGAAAGTCACTGTCAGACAATTACACTATTGTGTGTTACATATTTTCAGAACTTACTTATTAAAAAAGAACTGCATGATTTTGAAAGCTTAAAAATAGTATTTTCATGTTTTTAAAATTTAGTGATAAACCTAAAATATGGAGACTTCTAATTTTTTTTTTTTTTTTGGTACTAGAGATCGAACCTCAGGTCCTTGTGCTTGCGAGGCAGGCGACGGAACCGCTGGGCTAAATCCCCAGCCCAAGACTTCTAATATTTAGTCTACAGTTGTACCATCATTCTTTTTGTTTTTATTAGTTATTATCAGTATATAAGTCGGCATAAAATTGTTAAGAAACTAACAGCAACATGCTTTGTGCTAAAATGTTACTTAATGTTTAAAATTTAACACAACTATTAAAGGAAATGATATTAAGGCAATTAATATTGAAGAAATTATATGATTTCTAACGTATTCGAGGGTATTTTTCTGGATACTAATACAACATTATCATTAGTGAAGTCATTAAAAAATAAATTTTCTGTAAGATTTTTATACTAAGTGATGCAGTTTTTGGTTTATCAACCTATGTACTCCCTAGACAGTTTTGAATGTGTAAGTCTCATACTTTTTTTTTTTTTAAGTTATCAACCTTTTGAGGTATATTTGAGAAAAATTATATATGTATTTTTTAAAAAGATTAAAGCAGAGGGTAATTTCACTACTATTCCAGGTGAAACTGGCCTTCACCTTATCCATTTTAAAATGTACATTTCAGTAGTGTTACGCATATTCTCAATTTGTTTTTGCTCACTTATTGTTATGGCTTAATTTTGTAATCTAATTTTGCTTTTTAGAGGGCTATTTATCTAAAACTATTTGCTGAAGGTGGTCATTAACTTGACAGTTTCTAAATATATAGAGAAATCTTACCATAGAGCATGAGTAGAAACAAATACCTCTTCATGTCATTCATGTATCCAACCAGCATGAATGAATGAATTGGGGGCCTTTGAAGTGCTGACCATTATGCTTGGCTGTAGGTAGAGAGTGGGGAGCAAAAGCAGGTGGGGTTCCCTCTAGAGATTAGTCTTCTGGGAAGGATGGACTGCAGTTGTTTAGTCCCTCAAAAAATATCCCATTGTAGCTGAGATAGAGCCATGACAAGAACTATTGCTAGTGAGAGATCATGTGACAGACTTTAACTTGGTCAGGAAGACACAACTCTATAGCTGTCCAAAATATGAATGGACTTTAGATCTTGAAAGAGGAAGGAAGGCTATCTAGACAAGGTTTTCTTGTACAAAGGAGAGAGCATTGACTGGTCACGTGGGACAGAAGGAAAGTTGACACAGAGAGGAGAGCCTGAGGAAGAGCTGTCTGGCATGTGCTCTTCCACAGAATTACACCTGAACCCCTAGTTTTTTTTAAATGTCATGATTCCGTATCTAATAAAAAATTTCACTTTCCTCATCTCTCCCTTTTTTCTCAGGTGGTTGGGATCCATATGCAGGGAATTGGATGTGACGAAATGCTACAGGGTTTTGCTGTTGCAGTAAAAATGGGAGCAACAAAGGCCGACTTTGACAACACAGTTGCCATTCACCCTACCTCTTCAGAAGAACTGGTCACACTTCGTTGAGAGCCTAGAGACTTGTGCAGCTGGCATTTGGACCAGGACACTTTCTGAAATGAACCAAACTATTCTATTTTATATATTCCTATTCTACTCTCATTTTATATATTTCCTCATTTTAAACAGGATTTTCCAACAGTGGAAATTTGTAGTAAAGAATAGAATTTATTTATGTAATCAGAAATGTGTTGTTTTAATCCAGGATTGATTTTCATTTCATCAGATATCATGACAGTTAATGTTTGAAAGTTTTCAACAGCTCTCTACCAGTTGTTTTTTTGTTGTTGTTTTAGCCTCATCCCAAGTATAAAACTATATGAAGTACAATGAAGTTAATGCACTGGAATGAATATAGCTTGCTAGTTTTTTTCGAGGTAGATAGGGACAGTTCTTCATATTTAAATAACGTAAGTGCAAGAATATTTTTTGAAGCCAGTACCGTGTTCTGCATATTGCAAAGCTACTTCAAGGATGTGACCTTTCTCCAGTCCCCTTTTTATTGTTGTTTGTTGGTTGGTTTGTTTTAAATGATTAAAAGTGAGTTTACGTTCTTTTCTTGAGATGAAGTGCATAACCTCTGGAAAGATTTGAGGAGGCTGATTAAATATCTGAGAGACAGTCTAGAAAGTCATGCTTTCAGAAGCAGGTGGATTCAAATACTTCAAAAGTACCTCTCTGTGTTCACAGTTCTGTCAGTAATTTCACCATTTGTATGTGTTCTTGTCATTTTGTTTTCTTCTGACAGATGTTCCACATATTTGCAAATCACAGCCTTTTCTTCTTACAGAATTTGTCATGAACTTAATACCAGTTTATTTTCTAAGAATGTTTTACATTGGCAGATCAAATGCCAACATGTGTGGACGGTTCTCTTTAAAATAAAGATCAGAGTTATAATGAGAAACACTTAGTAGATTAATGGTTCAGTTAGACCATCACCCTAAAAATCACAGGTGTTTGTATCAGCTAGGTAAGCTAATTTTTTCTGTGGTTTTCAATAGAAGGTACAGTGGTTCTAAATACTTTCATTACATTTTCCTGAATGTCTGAGTAGTCATAGACAATTGCTGCACTGACTTCCTACGTAGACCCAATGCCAGTGAAAGAAAATATCACAGTAGTAACTAGGCTATATATTTGTAATGTGCTGAGAAAAGAGAATCCCAAACCCTGAACACCAACTGAGGTAGCCACTCCTCCCTTTCTCTCCATCAGCTTAAAAGATAGTAAGTAGGCTAAACGTCTGGGCCTGGCCTTCCTGTTGGGTTTCCCACTCTGCACATGTGACAAAGTCAAAATGCCTCTGCCAGGAAAAGGGAAGACTGGAGAAGTCACATGTGTCCTAATACCACCCATTCTAAACACTCATGTTTTCTGTTTTATTTTGTTTTTTGGTGCTGGGAACCAAACCCAGGACCTTGTAGATGCCATAGCACATGCTCTACCACTAAGCTGCACCACCAGTCCCAGCATGGTGTTCTTGGTCTCATGTGTAGCTTTTGTGCTGCCTATGTACTAGTTCCATAGTAAACCAATGTGAAAATAACCTTTCCTGAGATCTAGTCCACATTCTCATCTGTCCTTGAACCCACTCAACCCTCCAGGTGATGTGGCTCAACAGCCTTCATTACCTATAGGGCACTGGGGAGTAGAGATGGACAAGGTAGCATGACGTTGTTGGTAGGTACCTACTGAAGGAAAAAACATGATGGTTTCAAGAAACTTCATAGTTGACATTTCTACACAAAAGACAGGGTAACTAAGTGTGATTAACCATATGATTTATTGACTAAAATGGGACAGTTTCAGGTGTAGGAATGTAGCAGATAGGTATAGTGCTTACCTAGCATGAGTTTGAGCCCCATTGGGAGAGAGGGGAAGGAAGGATCTGAAAGGAGGCTGTATTGCTCAGAGGCCTGTGGTTCAATCCTAGCACTAAAGTCAGTGTGTCTGTATGTACATATATATGGAAAATAGGCACAAATTGGAACTGTCCCAAACTGGCACAGTTTCAAGAAGGGGGTTATGTAGGTTTTGATATTTGGGGACCGTAGACGAGAAGGTGAGAGTAGGTGTAATAAGTTATAGTAAAGGCAAGAGTGGGTAAAGTCTTGTATTGCTGCAAAACAAACTATCCAAGAACTTAGCCTAAAACAGAAGACAGGTGGCTGGGGGAAGAGGATGACTATTCCACAGAGCAGGGCCTCCTGTCCGCCTGATGACTAAGGGGCCCCTTTGCTGAGTGTTGACATAGGACACAAATATCTGCATGTTTTCATCCATTCAGAAAGGCCTATTCACATATGCCTTCTGGAAACTTTCTTGTCACCAGGTTTCTACTCCCTGATGACAGCCAATGAATCACTGTAAAAGCACATCTGGCCACTGCTAAGCAGATTGAACAACTGGGGGTGCTGCCTAAAGTTCTACCCACTGGGAGAATTACCCCTCACCACTGTGCAGGGTTTCCACCCAAAGCTGCAGTGTAGCAACCATCTGCTTGCTTATCCTGCAGAACCTTGCATATCCTGAGAACCAGGCCCCAGTTTTCTTTCTGTGGCAGATCATAAGGAAACACCTTACGAGACCACTGAGAAAAGGTAATGTAAGAGTAGCACTTCAAGGGCTTGAGCCTCCTCATGTAATTTATTTGTGCTGTCAGCATCAGCTCAGGCCTCATCTCCCACCATTTCCCCTTGATGGAGTGCAGCTGTGTGTGCCCAGCTTTATGGCTGGGTTTATCAGATCACACCCTCCCCACTCTATGGGCAGGTCAGGTTTCATGCTAACTTGGCGGCCCATGATTAAGCATTCACCTTCTGCTAAGGCCCTGTAGCAAGCCAAGAGTTTTTTCTCTAAAGAGCAGTAGTTATCCAGAGGATGTTGGCCTTTGCTCCAAAGTCTTGAGGACTTGTACTGTGGCACACCTAGAGGGTCCTGCCAGACACCAACTTTTCTGTCCCTGACAGTAGGTGCCACGCATCTGCTGGATCACGTGGGCCATGAGGCAGAGCAGCTTACACAGCAGCCTCCAGTGATGCAGAGCTTTTCTCTGGGCCCTACTCAGAACTATCAGCTTCTCAGGCCGCCGGCAAATGGGCTGGAGTAATGCCTCCAGATAAAGACTGCATTGCCTCCAAAGTCCAAAAAGGCCTGCTAGGTACGGTGTTTCTGTTTTGGTTGTAGGAGGGCTAGGTGCAGCAGCATAGCATTCACCTTAAGAGGAGTTAATTTGGGATTTAGCTCAGTGGTTTTGCCGCCTGCCTCGCAAGTGCAAGGTCCCGAGTTTGATCCCCAGTACCAAAAAAAAAAAAAGTTAACTCTACATGTCCCCTACCACTGGATGTGTAGACATTTCACTGAGATAGAAGGCCCCCAAAATTTTTGTTGGATTTGTTTTCCACTCCCTGGCTTGTAAGTATCTTACCAGTGAAGTTGTTGCTACTTCTTGTTCTCTAGGTCCAGATCCCTGTGAACAGGGCCAGGTGTGGCGGTGCACACCTGTAATCCCAGTACTTGGGAGGCTGAGGCAGGAAGATCACGGTGAGTTTGAGGCCAGCCTGGCGTGCATACTGAGTTCAAGGCCAACCTCAACTACATAGTGAGAACTTGTCTCAAGAAAAAAAGAAATCCCCATGAATTAAATGGTGACATAGGCCAGAGAGTTGATATAGCCTGAGATAAGACGGTGAAGGTGTATTTCTGATCTTGTCAGGTGAAAACAAAGTGCTTCGGGTGGCCTGTATTGATAAATATGGAGAAAAAGCATTAGCCAGACCAACAGCTGCATGCCAACTCCCAGGGCATGTGTTTATTTGCTCTATCAATGAAACCATATCTGGTACAGAAGCTGCAATTGGAGTCACCACCTGGTTGAACCTATGATAATTTGTGCCACTTTCCAAGATCCATCTGTCTTCTGCACAGGCCAAATAGACAACTTGAATGGTTATGTGGTGGAAATCACCCCTCTTTCAAGTCCTTGATGGTGGCACTAATCTTGTGAATCCCCCCAGAGATGCTGTATTGCTTTTGGTTTATTATTTTTCTAGGTAGAAACAGTGCCTTCCATTTGGTAACCCTTTGGTCACCATAGTAAACCTTATTCCACAGGTCAGGGAACCAGTGTGAATTCTGCAGCTGCTGAGCTCCTGTTCTAATTATGCAACCCTGTACTGCAGAACTAACCACAGGATAGATTCAAGGGCCCACTGGGCTCACTGTGAAATGGACCTGAGCTAAAACTGCACTGGTCACCTGACCTCCATAAGCCCGGACTCTGGTGGGCCACAGTGACATGTTGTGTCCTTTGAATTAATGTCAGAGCCATTGTTCCTGAAAAGTCGATTATTTTCTTTTCTTCATGCATGGTCACCCTAGTAAAATACTATATCCTTTTGAGGGATAATTGTCGGGAGCAATGCTACATAATTTTAGGGAAAAATCATTTGATAAGGCCTAGTTCTGCCTACAGGCCAGCAATGGCATTTCGAGACAATTCCATTTTGGCCTCTGGTCACAACTGAGACCTCAATGGTCTGGTGATGCTGTGATGCTCCAGGACAAGATTACAGTAGCTGAAGACATCCTGGGAGGAACAAAATCTTCATCTACTCAGTTCCTCATTGTTCTTGGATTTCTGCCACCCCGCAGTCATTTCTTACACTTTGTTTATCCGGATGTACTGAACTCTCTGTGAGTAATTTGTTACATCTGTTTCTCCAGAGGTACTGAATAAAGCATGCGGTAAGCTGGGGGCTTTCGTCTTTGCTGCCCAGAGCAGTACTGATCAGGCCCAAAGCTCAGCTTCTCCAAGTCTCATTTTTTCTACCTTTCCTGTATAATAAGTTAATTCGCCTTGTGCTGCTGTGGCTCACAGGAGACTAGGACTTACTTCAGAGGTTCCAGTAAAGTCCCCTTTCCCTGTTCCCTACAGATGATGGGAGAAAGATTAACAATATAATTAATGGGCAGTAGTTTGACAGTCCTTTCTTTTTTTTTTTTGCCAGCATCATATTTATTTATGTCTTTATCAAGTTAATTGTCATAAACACAGATTAACAGGCAGACTAACAGAAGACAGAGTCCTTTCTTAAGTGGACCTGGCCTTCCCTTCTAGCGGTTCTGGGCCTGTAAACTGGGTCAAATCCAATAGTCAAATGAGGAGCTATGTTTCTGTTTTCTATGACTCAGCCTAGACTTCTGTTCACTTGACCTAAAATTCTTCCAGTTGAACCCAGAGTGAAAGATTTACTAGACTGTTCATCTATTTCACTTGTAAAAACAGCATGATCAACTAGCCAGCATTGTAGGTCAAACTCTTCTGATTAACTGCTGACTTTACTATCCATCAAAGTAAGCACACCCACTTGCCTCTGGCAATTAATTGCTGCCACTTGGGCCCCATTACTCTGGAGTCCTGGATGTTCTGTGGGGTTTTATGTGCAGCAGAACAATATGATTTATCTAGGCCAGATCATTCTCAGATGTCAGGCTTTACTCCTCAGGAACTTATTGGTGACTTGAGAGTCAAATTTTAGTGGATTGGTATGGAGAAAAAGCAAAATGAAAGTAGCTGAAAAGATATTCCATAATAACCAAGAAGTGATAGCAACCTAAAACCATTCAGCCATTTAAAAGCATTTACTGTGTGCCTGTGAAGGTTTTGCTGTGATGATAACAATAGGACTGCTAGGGTGGACAAGAAGAAGCCATTTGAAGATGAAGAAGCTATGGCTTTTTCTATTTACTGAGGGAATAAAGCCAGTATACAAGGGAGTGGGGGGAGGCTCAGTGATGCTGGCCTGAAAGATGGTGATGGAAGGAATAGGGACTCTCGAGACAAACACTGACACTTGCTGGAGATTCAACTCAGAGCCTCGAGTGAGCTAAGCACACACTCTACC